CCTATAATAACCATTCGTCACCTCTCGAATCCCTATAACGACCATTCGTCACTTCTCAAATACCTATAATAACCATTCGTCACCTCTCGAATCCCTATAACGACCATTCGTCACTTCTCAAATACCTATAATGACCATTCGTCACCTCTCGAATCCCTATAACGACCATTCGTCACCTCTCGAATACCTATAATGACCATTCGTCACCTCTCGAATACCTATAATGACCATTCGTCACCTCTCGAATACCTATAATGACCATTCGTCATCTCTCAAATACCTATAGTGACCATTCGTCACCTCTCGAGTACCTATAATGACCATTCGTCACCTCTAGAATACCTATAATGACCATTCGTCACTTCTCAAACACCTATAATGACCATTCGTCACCTCTAGAATACCTATAATGACCATTCGTCACTTCTCGAATACCTATAATGACCATTCGTCACGGCTTGAATATCTCTGTCTCGGTGTCCCGAAATTACTTTTGGGACGTAACAAATGTCCCGATTTTAACTTACGTTTTTTATTTTTTTTTGAAGAGTGGACTAGGTGGCTCGTTATTTGCCTAAAAGTTCAAAATATGTTACTTTTTGGCTATTAATATAGTAACTAAAGGCTAAAAATATAAAGTGTCACCAACATTAATATATAGTGCGATTTTAAAAGGATTTTGAACAAGATAAATGACAACCTGCCCGCCTGTTGCACTGACACCATCTGTCACATGACAAATGAGGACTGTGATGTTCTGAAACTCTGCTGCCACCTAGGTTGAATATTAGATTATTATGCCTAGACCGTGTTGGCAACAGCTTTGGGTGTCCCGGTTTGACCACGTGATCTAATCAAGAATTAACCATTATCAAAAGCTAGTCAAACGACATGGTTTGTTTTGTTTATAATTAATAAACAAACATTAATTAGGTAACATGTAGTGTGCTTGATGACAATAATAAAATACGTTTTAATTCATGCCATTACAGTACGAATTTCACCTATTCATTATTTTATTTAAAATTATCATTGTTGTAGGAAGCAACTTTGGAGTGGTTACGCCATTGCTACAGTTAAAAAATGTAATACATGATGTGTGAAAAGCACACTACCGGAATGCAAGATATGCCATTTCTAGAGGGGGGTTTGGGAACATTCACCCAGAAATGTTTTGAAAATCTAATGATATGAGATTGAATCTTGAGCCATTTTAACTAAAAATATTACAAACACACAACGTAATGTATTGAATTAAAAGAAGCAAGTTTTAATACATAAGTTGAACCAATACAAACCATGAAAAAGTGGTCAGGCTATGGCCTGACTGGCCTTACCGCTTTCTACGGCCCTGATTACAGCCAATAAGTTTAGTAGTTCAATCATTATTTTGTGTTTGTATTTTTTCCTATTTTGTAATAGATGGGTCAACAGTTATTGTTTTGCTAGTGCAAAGCTACACAATGGGATCTTTTCATTCTGTCTATCACAAAGAATCGAACCCCGGATTTTTGCGTTATAAGTCCGTATCCGTACATCGGAAGACCAGAGGGTGTTATACAACTTGTACTAAAGCTCGACTTGTATTACTTTAAAATATCAATAAAACTTCAAACGAGATTTTCTTTTTATTTACATGAACAAAAACGCTTCTTCAAAATTGCCACCCAATGGTACAGCAGTATGTCTGCGGAATTACAACGCTAGAAACCGGGTTTAGATACCCGTAGTGAGTAAAGCACAGACAGCCCATTGCGTAGCTTTGTGCTTAAATCCTTTTCATTCTTCAAAATTAGTATGGGATGTTTGTATTTGTTGGTTTTTAAGCAAAGCCACATTGGGCTATCTGCTGTGTCCACCGCGGGAAACAGAGCCCTGTTTCGTTTCTTATGATAAAAAAGTTGTTTTCTAACTGTCAACCAAATGATATACCAACTGTGTGAAAACAGTGCTCTGGGATGACTTATTAATAGAATGACTTAAATTGTAAATGTTGTTGTTTTTTTATGCTGGAACTCAAATATATTTGTATTTTTTTTTTACTCTGTGTAATATTTCCTAAAAATAAACCATTTTTTCAGATTTTAAAAAACAAATATGAAAATCAGGTTTTACTGATTGTAAGAAGTACAAATTGTTCATATTGACGTACATATAAGAACCTCTTACATCGTAATATTTTGAAACTATGTAATTCATGATGTCAGAAAAACACGTAGGTTCAAGTATTCTTAACATAAAACGATAAAAGACATATAACCCGAGCGCTTTCGAAAGGTGGACCTTTCTTCTTCAGAGGCAAATTGGGAACTACCCCTGATGAAGAAAGGTCCAACTTTCAAAAGCGCTCGGGTTATAGGTCGTTTTCATTTTATATCGAAACTATGTAAGTTAGGCCAAGTTATTTGATGTACTCTAATTTCAAAGTTTTTCGTACAGATTCAATCGACTATATGGTCTAAAGTGACAAATACGTATTCAACAAGCTTAGATAATTTAAAAGTAAATGTAATCTAAATGTTTGAATACAAAAATAATGTACTTGTAGGTTGAGATACGTATTAGAGCAGTTTAGAACCAACCTGCATTATAACTCAGTTAATTTTGTTTTCCTTAACATGGATAAACTTTTAAGACGGACCCCATGACGTAACTACCAATTTATATTTTGTATACTCTTTGATCTTTAAAAAACAAGAGTTTCATTGATTATTTGCCTTTGAATATTTATTGAGATAAATGGAAAATTTTTTTCGTGTATCCTTACATTGAGAAACCGGTTGATGCAGTGAAAACTAATATCAACGGTTTAGCCTTGGCCGTATTGATGCAGTGAAAACTAATATCAACGGTTAGCCTTGGCCGCATTGATGCAGTGAAAACTAATATCAACGGTCTAGCCTTGGCCGCATTGATGCAGTGAAACTAATATCAACGGTTTAGTCTTGGCCGCATTGATGCAGTGAAACTAATATCAACGGTCTAGCCTTGGCCGCATTGATGCAGTGAAACTAATATCAACGGTCTAGCCTTGGCCGCATTGATGCAATAAAAACTAATATGAACGGTTTAGCCTTGGCCACATTGATGCAATAAAAACTAATATCAACGGTTTAGCCTTGGCCGTATTGATACACAATAAAACTAATATGAACGGTTTAGCCTTGGCCGCATTGATGCAATAAAAACTAATATCAACGGTTTAGCCTTGGCCGTATTGATGCAGTGAAACTAATATCAACGGTTTAGCCTTGGCCGTATTGATACACAATAAAAACTAATATGAACGGTTTAACCTTGGCCGTATTGATACACAATAAAAACTAATATGAACGGTTTAACCTTGGCCGTATTGATACACAATAAAAACTAATATCAACGGTTTAGCCTTGGCCGCATTGATGCAGTGAAACTAATATCGAACGGTTTAGCCTTGGCCGCATTGATGCAGTGAAACTAATATCGACGGTTTAGCCTTGACCAAGTTTGGAAAACAAACTTTGTAATTGGTCTAAAGAATAACGCCCGATGAGCTCTGGATTGAGTGAAACGCGTCTTCGACAATGGATATGGCAAACGTAGTATGGTTGGATGTTTGTTTGTTTGTTTTTGAATTTCGCGCAAAGCTACACGAGGGCTGTCTGCGATAGCCGTTCCTAATTTAGCAGTGTAAGACCAGAGGGATGGCAGCTA